TATTCGTTGAAATGTTGTATTTCGACTCCGCCGTACCGCTGATGTTGCTGCATGGCATACGCTATATGCGTTGTGTGCGTTTTGCTGTATACGCTGTTATGTCCAGTTTTATCTGCTTATGTTTTGCATGTACGCTGTTTTTGCATGCTATAAATAGCTGGTGTTATTAGTGTTCATTGTTAATTATCAGATGAAGTGAAATATACTGTGTAAAGGAAAACAGTTGTCCTCGTGCCGTGTGGTCGTACGATCCTGACAATTTAGAGAATCTTAGCAGGGTTCACAACACTGTCCGTGCGCGGGACCCAAACCTAAAACAAGTCCAGAAGCAGCCATGGGTGGTGGGGTAGGGCCCCTCAACGTGGCCCTGGAATCGGTCACAACGGAACGAGTGGGCGTTCTCTCGCGGACTCCCACAGACCCAAGTCAATTTTTGATTTTTTTTAGGTTTAGCACGTGCTACGAGGTCGTATCTTTGATACAACATCCAGTGCTGGGACCTCCACAGCAAGCCATTTCCACAGCGCTGCACACCAAATCCAGGATGCCCTCAGAAACCGGCAAAGACTGCCACTCACGTTTCACTACTGCCTAGTACTGAATCCTTCCTGACTTCTTGACACGACTCAAACTTGCCAAAGTGCCTAAATTAACGTCAACTACAATAATCAAGCCACATATGTGCAACGTGACGAGGGTGCTGGCAAAAGTCCTGCTGCATGGCGGCGGGCTTCGCCCGCCGCCGTGCAGCCCAATACGTGTTTTTTTAACGTGATTTTTTTACACTTTTTTGGACTTGGGGAAAAATGCTGCACACTTTCGCGTGTTTCCATAATACGACAAGTTGCGCACGGTCTGCTCACATTCAAATACAGTGCTGCCAACAAATGACAGCATGCAACAAAAAAATCTTTCCTTGCAAAGGCACATTTTCGGCCATAACTCTTGAACCGCTGGTCAGATAGAGACACAATTTTCAGAGAATTTGCAGCTATTCATGCTCTTTCAACTGACGTAGCACTCAATATGAATTTACAAATTCGATGTTTCAGCGGAATTTTGGGTAGTCTGCCACCTTAAATGTCATGTACGTTCCTTGCATCCCACCAGCTTAGTGGATTCGCAGGAGACAAAGGAAAATGTTGAACGGTTGCTGCTTAGACGACCACTAGTGGTAGAGTACTCAGTGGTAGAGCCTCGCTGTGCATAAACAATAGTCACATTTTCGATTCGTGGTAGTGAGTGTCACTTTCTGTTGTTTGCACCTTCGAACAAGCCAATATATATAGAGAATAATTTTTTTTGGAAGATTTTAAGAGTTTTAAAAGGGACTAGAACGGGACTACATGACGATAAAAATGGGACCAAAGGAACATACAGGAACAAAGTACATCACGTATTTAGCAACATGGGCGAATTTCAAAACAGCACAGCGACTCTTCAAGGGAAAGGATCCATACGAGGTATGTGGGCAGAAGAATAGAGATGATTTTATGAAAAATGATCCTCATGTTCAGCGCAACTGAGCTATTTTTTAGGAACGGTAGATTTGGAAATACGTGAAAGAAGTGCATTGAATAAAAGAGGTAGAAACTGTACAATATATCAACTCTAGAACAATTACAATGACAATGATAATGTTTGTGATGGTACAAATGTAGAAGTCAGCATTTAAGCAGTGACTTTTTGCATGGAGTTAAGATGGGGCTACTTACATTTGGAAACGATTCTCTTATGAACATTTTCCATGCCCTTAAAAAGAAGCATTTTATGTGGGGTTAGTGTTTGCATGGTTTTATATGTGTTTTTTTTTTTGAAAAACTTGTCACAATCGTTGATCAGTTTCTTTCAGAGATGCAACCTTTCATGTACTGTTAAATTGGATTTCTGAGAGAAAGACTTTCTACAAATTTTACACTTGAATGGTTTCACGCCAGTATGGATGCGTTGATGATCTGTGAGATGCACATTTTGTCTGTATGACTTGCCACATAGGTTACACTTAAATGGCTTCTCTCCAGTATGTGTACGTTTATGGACTATAAGGTGGGAAATTTGGGAAAAGCCTTGGTCACAATGATCACACTTGAACGGCTTTTCCTCGTTATGGATACGTTCATGAACAGTGAGTTGGTATTTCACCCTGAATGATTTAGGGCAGTACTTGCACCTAAAGGGTTTCTCTCCTGAGTGAATTCGTCCATGAGAAACCAGATTATATCTCCTCTTGAAGGATTTATCGCACACTTCACACTTGAACGGTTTATCTTCTGTGTGTGTACGCTCATGCGACGCTAGACCGGATTGAGTAGAAAATGACTTATCGCAATACTGACATTTATGCAGCTCTTCTCCAGTATGTGAATGTGCCCAATCACCATCATGCTGGCGATCAAGTGGCACCCTTGTTTCCTTGTTGAGTGACGTATGGTCTTGAGGAAAGTTAGCTAGAAGTCGACTATCTTCCTCAGAACACGACTCCGAAGTATGCTGTTTATTGAGCATGTGATGATCATGATGTTTGGCATCCTCAGAAACGCTAGGTGCCAGAGGGGATACTGCAACATGTCCGATATTGTGAAGGTCCACATCGGAGGGCGTGCTTGAGTAATTGCAATCAGCCGAGTGATAATCCACGTGCCCGTGTCCTGTGTAGTGGTCTGAAAACGAAACGGGATAGTTAACAGTTTGGAGACTGTTGCCTTGCGATTTTTGGTCAGTGTCCACTGGTGATGTCATGGGATTAGAGTATGGTTTCTCGACAGCTGCTTTAGAAGACTCGTTAGTCCACGTATCTTTGTTTCTTTGGAATTCTGGTGGAGGGTGCCTGAAATTGTCTTCTGAAATTTCCACCCAAGGATATTCTTGAAGCACACTGCAGGTAGGTGTTTGTGTAGTGCAAGGGCTGAATGAGGTATTCTGAAGCGCACCATATGCAAAGGAGCCTTCTGAGGTCACTACTTGGGTAGCACTAACGGGATTTGCGTGCTGAACAGCTGGATAAGTCGTACCATAATATGATATCTTGTGCGGTGGAGGACACGCAGTTGTCCTTCTGCTGGTCCATATCACTAAGGGTGGAAGTGGTGAGAGTGCATCAGAGTCAACACTTCCCTCCGAAATCCAGTCCCGATTGTCCATCATTTACTTACTTCAACAATCCCCACAAGGGCACTTCACCTGGCATGCAAGGAAAAGTATCCGACGTCAAAACCAATAGACCAAAAAAACTGGAACAACTCGTTCTAGGAGGTAAGTATTGCAATCAGCAGCAGCTGTGTTTCCCGAATAATTACAAGAACATTCGGCTAAATGGTCAAGTCTTTAACACGATATTCCTAGGCCCTTATATTTAGCTGACACATTATGATCTTTTCACACCATTCGCTCCGCGCGCAAACACACACATACACCCACCCACACACAAACTAACACACACACACTCACCCACACAAACACGCCCTCATCCCCCCCCCCTCCTCACATACACACACATGATCTCTTTGCTTAATTTAAAACTTGGTTTGACATCACCCAGGCTGAAACATCATCTTCAAGCTGGCGCTGCCATACCTGAGAAGAGGCGATGCGAGCTGAGCCATCTTGCCGTTAGAATTTACCCACAAAGTGTCTGCTATGAATAGAGGCATGATTTATATCGTCTCTCGTAATGATAATTATAGGTATTGCGACGTATATGTTACATAATCTATTGCACCTTGCACAGTTCATAAACACTGATAGGGGGCTATTCATACCTCCTCAATTTTGGTGGAGCTAATTGATAACAAAGGACACCAGGCAACTGAAAACCGTGAGTTTTGCAGTAACTAAAAAAACTGCAATTTAAACACTACACGTCATGTACGTTCCTTGAATACCTCCAGCTTGTGTGGATTCACAGGACGCGAGAGATAATAAGTGTGAGGAAAACGTTGAACGGTCGCCGTTTGGATGATCACAAGTGGTAGAGTGCTTGCTGGGCATACGCGATTGTCACAGGTTCGAGTCCTGCCAGTAAGTCATTTTTTTCCTCAAGCAAATGATTACTGAGTTATTTTTTTAGAACAAATGGAGAAAGGAAAAGGACAAAATATTGCGAGTTATGACAAACTGTGCACCAACGTAACCAGAGCTTATACAGTCAGCGGTTGCGACAAAATTGCACAAAACCGACAAGGCGTACTGAGACATTCGGCGACCTGACACCTAGGTCAAACAAACACTTCTACAAGGCGCAAATGAACAAACTTCCTACCTGGAAGTCTTAGGTTCTGAAAGCTCCATTTTGTGCCATTTTGTCGCACTCGCTAACTGTTTAACCCTTTGGAGTCCGTAACTTTTTTGCTTCCGCATAATTTGTGGCAGTCACGAAAATGCGCACTCCATTTCCAACATAACTTTTGTTCTACTTCACCGATTTTGAAGATCTTGGGCTCGTTGGAAAGCTCTTGATGAGAGAAATACAATGAACCCAAACTCGCCAAGAGCACTATTCATTGTCCGCCACAACGCGCCCCAAACGCGAGTCCAGCTCCAGATCTGAGACGAAATCGGTCTCCTGTAGCCATTTCACTGAATCTAGCTCGGAACTGTTCACATTTTTTCGAGTAGAAGCTTACCTTGCCGTGACTTCGCGCCGCGCCGGTCCTGGCACGTGCCACCTGTCATGAAGCTGGGAAAGTCCCTTTTTTTCACGCACTGCTGACTCGCAGCACGCAGCGCAGAAAATTCGAAATGTTTGATCGCTCGCCGCTCACTCAAACTTCATCGGAGAGACTTCGCACCTGTTTGATGCGATAGCTGAGAGTGTTTTCTACCATCTAGACCCTTCGAACCATGGACTCCAAAGGGTTAAGATCTGGTTACGTTGATGGAAAGTTTTTCATAACTCGTAACAGTTTTTCCTTTTCCCTTCTTTATCATAACTATATTGGCTCGCGGTCCGAGTTCAACATTTTAAGAGTTTTGCTGGGGACTAGAAAAGGACTATGACATGATGCCAAGTGGACTGAAGGTACATACAGGATAAACAGTACAACACATATTCAGCAACATGTGCGAGCTTCAAAACAGCAAAGCGTCTCTTCTAGGGAAAGGATCCATACTCGACATGCGTGCAAAAGAATACGTGTGCACGAAAAAGTACTGATTTATCAAAAATGAGCCGCATGTTCAGCGAAACTGAGTTTTTTTAAGAACATTGCATATGGAAATACGTGTAAGAAGTGAATTGAGGAACATGGTTAAAAATTGTTTCCTGTCAAGCAGTGATAATGATAATGTTTGAGATGCCACAAAATTAATGTAGAAGTCAGCGTATAAGAAGTGAATTTTGCAGTTCAGATTGGGCTACTTGCATTTCAAAACGGACCTGCATGTATAATGAATATCTTCCATTATCTTGAAAAGAAAACTGTTGTGTTAGTGTGTTAGTGTTTGCATGGTCTTCTTAGTGTTTTTTAATTAAAAGACTTGCGACAATCCTTGATCAGATAATCTCTGGGATGGATACTTTCATGTCTTGTTAAACTGGATTTCCGGGAGAAAGACTTTCCACATACTTTACAATTGAATGGTTTCTCTCCAGTATGGGTGCGTTGATGATCTGTGAGATGTGATGGTTGTCTAAATGTCTTTTTACATTCGCTACACTTGAATGGCTTCTCTCCAGTATGTGTGCGTTTATGACGTCTAAGACTGGAACTGTTGCAAAACCCTTGGTCACAATGATCACACTTAAACGGCTTCTCTCCGGTATGGATCCGTTCATGAACAGTACAGCTTGATTTCTCACTGAATGATTTAGCGCAGTAATGACACCTAAAGGGTTTCTCTCCTGAGTGAACTCGTCCATGACAAACAAGATGAGATCGCATTCTGAAGGTTTTATCACACACTTTACATTTGAAAGTTTTCTTTTCAGGATGTGCACATTCATGAGATGTTAGACTCGATTGAGTGGAAAAAGATTTTTTGCAAAACTTACATTTATGCGGCTGTTCTCCAGTTTGTGAATGTGCACGATCACGCATATCATGCTGGCGATCAAGTGACACCCCGGGTTCCTGGCTGAGCGACGTAGAATCTTGAGGAAAGTCAGCTAGAAGTTGAGTGCCTTCAGCGGAATACGTCACCGGTGTATGCTGTTTCTTGAGCTTTTGATGATCATAATGTTTGCCATCCTCATAAACGCTAGACTGTCGGTGAGATACTGGAACATGTCCGATATTTTGAAGGTCTACTTCGGAAGACGTGCTTGAGTAATTGTCTTCTTCCAAGTCATACTCTACGTGCCCGTGTCCTGTGTAGTGATCTAAAACTGAGATTGGATGGTTCACAGTTTGGTTATCGCTGTCTCGCGATCTTTGTTCAATTTCCATTGCCGATGTCTTGGGAATCGAACATGGATTATGGACAGCTGTTGCTGAAAGCTCTGTCGGGTTTGCATCTTCCTTCCTTCGGCACTCTGGTCGAGAGTCCCAGACGCGGTCTGTCAGGTCCGGTGGTGGACGATCTAGCGGAAAATTGGTGGTAACTGATGGTATGTTCCAAGCACTGAATGAGGTATGCTGAATTGCATAATTTGCAAAAGAGGCTTCTGAGGTCGCTATTTCATTCTCGCCAACGGCGTATACGTGTTGATTAGCTGTATAAGGTGTACCAGAAGTTGGTGTGTTCTGCGGTGGAGGACACACAGTTGACCTTCTGCTGGTCCATATCACTAAGGCTGGAAGTGGTGGGAGTGCATCAGAGTCGACACTCCCGTCCGAAGTCCAGTCAAGATCATCCATGATTCACTTACTTCAACAATCCTTCCAAGCGCAATTCTAATACCATGCAGGTCAAAGCACCCGATTTAAATACCAAAAATCCAAAGAGCAGGAACATTTTGTCCTAGGAGGTGAGAATTCTGATCAGTAGCAACTGTGTTTCCCGAATACATGTGTATGTGCATAAACAATCTGCTAATTTGTCACGTTTTTAAGTTGATATCTATTTTTTAGCCCTTACATTTAGCTGACACATTTATAATCTTTTCACATCATGAGCGCACGCGCCGAAAAACACACATACGCACTCACGCACACCCATCCACACACTCAGACACCCACCCCAAAAACCCACTCAGATACACGGACACACAAACACGCAAACACACTGTGACTCAAATGATCGAAATTCAGGAATGCAGCGGAGGTTCTCTTTTACCTTTCTTCAATGTAAATTGCAGGGAATTTCTTTAACGTCAGCGCAGACACAGCATTAATACTCCAAATGTAGTCATCAACAGTATTTATTCAGGCAATGAGATAATCCCAATTATACGGAATGGATGATCAGCTCCCCATGGAAATGTATCGTGTCATGTCCAGTCTTTCTTGTTCCTGAAAAGTTCTAATTAACTGAGGAAAGAGCAATAGAACAAGTCTCGTTCCTTGGCACATGGTAGGTATAATGCCCATTTTTGCCTACCTTATGATTTCACAGTATTGCTTATGAAATTAATGCTAGAGAGAGAAACCCAGAGTTTCGACGATCTGGGTTTGTACCGATATAGCAGGCATAAAAATATGTATGTATTACCATACTCCATCTGCGTAGCCGTGACAAATTAGCAGATTGTTTATGCACATATTCGGGAAACACAGTTGGCAGTGCATCCTGCTGTGACTCTAGAAATAAGCTTCTCTTACTCGCACCGGTCTTTTTCAGTAGAGAAAGATACCCTTTACATACGGATATATCAAAGCATCGCCGGCCATAAGAGTCCTCGTGATGACCGTCGACGTTTTCTTCAGACCCTTCCCCATTAACATCTTTCCCTTGAATTCATTAATTCTGTGTGTGTTGGGGTCTCCCCGCATACTACATAGTGCTAAAGACTAGCATGTGTAATATACAGGGTACTGCGTATCGCAAGCCTGTGTGAAATCACAGGAAATGAGTGTTTCGAAGAAAGTGTTGAGCTGTAGCTGCTTTGATGACCACTAGGCCGTAGCTTAGCGGTAGAGCATTGGTTTACACAATATCTTCTTTCAAGTTCATCAAAATGTGTGAACAGAAAGAATAGTGTTGGTTATAATCTATTGTAAACTTATATCGGATCGTGAGGCAATAAATATAATGAGAGTAGAAGAAAACACATGAGAACGAGCTACGCAGCAACTATTCACGTCTGCAACAAAAAGATAAACAGTCATAAAGTTCGATAATATGGCACAAAGCTGACTCTTTTGCACATATATTACTGGCTCAGTATCCGAGTTAAAAATAATAGAAGAAATAACATAATCACAATCACATAACATTGAACCTACCAAGCTGGAAGGCTGTTGGTTTGGAAACTGGAAGTGTGTGAGAGCTAGGTCTCGGGTGGTTGAATGTATCGGTAAAATGGCAGTTATCATCGTATGTGCCCTGGTAACACACTTCCTGACTCTACATTATCTTGTTACAGTCGCGGATAGTTGATTCATAACTCGTTTCACTGTGATTTCCATTTTCATCAAACTTTTGAACCGTGAGATGTTAGAACGTAAAATATTTGACAAGTTTTGAGAAGGACTGAACGCTACTCTACAACAAAAAACAGTGCAGCGCGTTTTCCAAGAAAATGAGGTAGGATATTCGAGAAAAATCAGTACAGATTTATCAAAATGAGCCATACAGGAACGTTCAGCGTAATGGAGTTTTTAATGCATGGTAAATATGGAAACAGGTTCGTGCTGAGTCGGAACTGAAGTAGAAAACAAGGCATGCAAAAGTGGATATCAACGGGAATACAATAATAATGATTTGGTTTTGGATGTTACACATGGGGAAGGTAGCATATTTATAAGCAGTGACCTTTGCAGTGATATCAGATTGAGCTGCGCCCGGCAATGACACTATTTGCGGATCAAAACGGACATGTAAATGATAGCGTTTTCCATAATGTTTACTGACCAGGCAGGCACAGTGGGTTGGTCAAAGACCATGATTGAGATACGAGAGGTACCTGGTTCAAGTCCTACCTGGGAGCGGTTTTTCCAGCCGTGCTGCTACCCACAGTCAACTGGGAACTTGTGGCCAGGCACAAGGGGTACATGGATGCAGCTAATGGGGTCGTTTTCGGCACTTGTGCCAGTGGTTGTGAGACTTATCCACTCACCCCCACCGTTAGGCGCTGCATCTGCCGCTAGGGTTTACCGGGTGTTAGCGACCGTCGTGAGTTCCCTTCGGGAACGGACACGATAATTTACTTACTTACTGTGTTGGCATTTGTGTGGTCTTCCAGGTGTTTTTTTGCATTAAAATACCCGTAGCTCACACTTGAGCATTTTCTATCAGGGATGGACTCGTTCATGACGTGTTAGCCTGGATTTCGTAGTGAAAGACTTTCCACATTCCTTACAAGAAAATGGTTTCTCTCCAGCATGGATGCAGTGATGAGCTGTGAGATTCCACATTCGCGTGAATGCCTTGCCACATTCTTTACACTTGTAAGGTTTCTCTCCAGTGTGGACGCGTTGGTGCTCTATTAGATGCCCTGATTGGCTGTATGACTTGTCACAACGCTTACACTTGAAAGGCTTCTCTCCAGTATGTGTACGTTTATGAACTATAACGTAACACTTGTTGTAAAAACCTTGGTCACAACGATCACACTTAAACGGCTTCTTCCCGGTATGGATGCGTTCATGAACAGAACAGTTGGATTTCTGACTGAATGATTTAGCGCGATACTGGCACGGAAAGGGGTTTTCTCCTGAGTGAACTCGTCCATGACTGACAAGATGATACCGCGTACTGAAGGTTTTATCACACAGTTTACACTTGAAAGGTTTCTCTACTGGATGTGCACATTTATGATAATTCAGACAAGATTTCGTAGAAAATGATTTATGACATTTCTTACATTTAATTGGCTCTTCTCCAGCTTGGGAATGTGGATGACCACGCATATCTTGCTGGCGCTCAAGTGACACCCCGGTTTCTTTGATTTTGAGGAAAGTCAGGTAGAAGTAGACTGTCTTCCTCAGAACACGCCTCCGACGTATGTTGTTTCTTGAGCGTTTGATGATCATGATGTTTGGCATACTCAGATGCGCTAGGAGCTAGGGGAGATACTGGAACATGTCCGATATTGTGAAGGTCCACGTCGGAAAACATGCTTGCATAGTTACTTTGTTCCGAGTCATCAGGTACGTTCCAGCGTCCCGCGTAGTGATCTGAAACTGCGACTAGATAGTTCACAGTTTGGCTACCGCTGTCTTGCAATCTTGGGTCAGTTTTCACTGCTGATATCATGGGATTCGGGCAATGGTTCTCGACAGCTGTTGTTGATACATTAATAATGTGTGTATCTTCGTTTCTCTGCAACTAATGTCGAGCTTCCTTGAACTGGTCTGTTATGTCCAGCAGTGGTCGATCTGGCAGTAAATTGGAGATAACTGATGGCGTACTCCAAGGGCTGAATGGGTATGATGTAGTGCATAATTGGCAAAGGAGGCTTCAGATGTCGCTACTTGATTCCCAACAGCAGCGTATTCGTTGTGAAATGCTGTAAAAGGCGTAGGATAAGATGTTGCATTCGGATGCGGAGGACACACCATTGAACTTTTGCTAGTCCATATCACTAAAGATGGTGAGAATGAGTCAGAGGCTACACTCCCCTCGGATATTCAGTTACAATCAGCCATGATTCACTTACTGAAGTGCTTACACAATTTACCGGATTTTTTTGTTTTCCTTCCTAACCCGGCAAAGTATCTGACATTATCAAATATCCAAATGCCAAAACGAACTCTTCTTACTTGCAGACAATAGCTTTAAGATGAGTTTCATCCGGTTGTTAACGATATATACGTATGCGAACTCTGTGCTAACACGTCACGTCACATCACAGCAGTCGACATCCATTTCCACAACTCTACACTCCGTACCCTACTATTAATATTGATAGTCACGCGCACACAGGTACACGCGCAAACTCTCTTTCTCTCTCTCACACACACGCACACAAACACCACAGGGTCTCTATCCAAATATTCTTACTCACCTTCACACCTGGTTAGGGATCACACCAGATTAGACATGCATTTCAGTATGACACGTCAACACCAGATTTGGAATAGTGCAACTTTGGACAGTTTCATGTTAGACATGAATTGAGAACTGAATGTACTGTGGATGTGTGCATATTGCGAAGTGCGATTGTAACTCATAAATCAGTAAAACGAGTTACGTCGACGCCGGGTAAAAATATGGGTGAGATTTTTCGAAATCATACACCGTTTTACTGTGCACATGGACGAAGTGTAGTTCTTTGCGTAGGTTTATTAAATTTTATGAATAATGACTTTATTGTGAAAAGAAGAAGGACGAAATATAACTAGTATAAAAGAGTATAAATACTAATCTTAGTTATGTTTCTTAGTTGTGTTTTGTTCTGATTTATTATACTGCCTTTTGTAAAACATAGTATTCCAATGGGGAAAAAACTGTGATAAATTATTGTATCTCCTGATATCCACCTATACTGGTTTGAGAAGCGTCTGGGCCATCTATAAAATTATTGATTTGTTCTGTCTAATTCTTTGCCATGTGATCACTAGATACCCATAGATGGCAAAAAAAGTCGTTTTTGAAAAAAACATCCGAAGGTCCATTTTGCAGATACTGGGCCAAATTGTAGCACATCATAGGTTCCCAAATATTGCACAAAATCCAGTATTTTGCTATTTTTCATCAAAATATTGCAGGGTACCCTAGAAAAAAGTAAAGAGAATTTGTCATTGTATCTACCGGAATATGAATGCAATACACCTAACACTT